CAGAATTATGAGGCTCTGTTAGGTCTCACTAACTTTTCAGGAAGAAGTGATAAACTTAGGTAAGTTTAACTGCTTTTGGACCTTCTTTCTTCCCCAGGAGTGAATGTGAATTCACTCAATGCTTTTCTTGTAGGACTATGAAGACTGATCAGTTTGAGCTACCTCTGTAGCTAAAAAATTAATAATAATAAAATTAATAATAATATTAATAAAATAGCCAGGAAGAGGAGAGTGGCACGTTTTCTTCTAGAAAGAGGAAAGACATGAACCTAATCTGCGTTAGATACGGAATGAACCGCATGTCTTGAGCTCCAGTGCTGCAGACACTGATTTGTTTCAAGGCCTTCCCTGTCTGCAGTTAATATTTTACAAGTTAATTATTGCTTGTCCCATGATATGTTTGATCTGACTGCTTATCAACATAGGATGAAGATAGTCAACGAGAGGGCCCTGCCAGATATTGAGAACTATATGTTTGAGAATCACGACCAACTTCGACAGGCAGCCACAGAATGCATGTGCAACCTGGTGGTCAACAAGGAGGTAATTCACTGGGCATCTCAGACTGGACTGCATGCACCAGTTCATGAGCCACTGTGTTCCTAAGTGTGTTATCTCTGGATATCACGGGGTTTTTTTAGGTTCACGCTGATGGAAATGACCGGCTGAAGTTGGTGGTGTTACTGTGTGGTGAGGATGATGAGAAAGTCCAGGTTGCAGCAGCTGGAGCCCTGGCCATGCTTACAGCAGCACAGAAGAAACTCTGCTCTAAGATGACTGAAGTGGTAAGACCATAAGTTTGACTATTGGCAGTGTAGACATGCCCTTGAAGGGGCATCACTCATGAGAATGCCTCTCAAAAGGAAGATGTAGTCCACCAGTTTGATAGTGAGGAACTTAATGGTGAAACTGAGACCTGGGTGTGCGTGCTCCCAGTCCAGCCCTGCACAGAGTAAACCAGCCTGCCTTATACTAGACTTCATCTCAGAGCTGGAATGTTCTTATTTAGCTGTTCCTCAAGGGTAAGTCCAGGACGCTAGCAGTTAAGCAAGGTTAGGAATGCAGAATATTTATTCTATAGGCTCTTAAAGCTTTTGATAAATAACCTGAAATCCAAACCTTGTTTCATTCAGAAACGAGAAGAGCTTGCTAGATAACCTATTGGGCTTTACAGATCCCAAAACATCTCAATTTCCTGCGCAGATCTGTATGTCCTGAGAACTCAGACCCTGCATAGCTGAGTATCTGAAGAGCTGTGGCTGAAAAGTCATGAACTCTGTTGTGTTGGACAGTGGGGCTTGTTAGAATAAGAATGATTAACCGAGCCAAAGGAGGGGCTCAAGAAAATCAGTGGGGGGGAAGTGGATGGTCTGTGTCTGGTCTTCTCAGCTGTGTCAATATACTGAGATTCTTTGCACAGAGATTATGCAGCAGCCTAAGCATGAAACGTGTTTCATGTGGTGCTAGTGCCATGAAAACTCCTGGCTTTAATGTCACAAAAATTTGGTCCGGAAGTTTAGAGCCAGATTTCCTTAGTTAAAGGATCAAATAACCGTACCTGACGGAATATTGAAGAGGCGAGTCCCTGCGCTTGCCCCTGCTGAGAAATGCCTTGCCAAACTCACGTTCTTGGTTGAAGTAGTCTTCTGATCAATACTAACAATCTCTCTCTCTTGAAGACCACCCAGTGGCTTGAAATCCTGCAGAGGCTCTGCTTGCATGATAACATGGAAGTGCAGCACCGAGGACTGGTCATCACTTTCAATTTAATCAGTGCTGACAAAGAGCTAGCGAAGAAGCTGGTGGAGACGGAGCTCCTAGAGATTCTGACATACATTGGCAAGCAAGCAGATGACCCCAAGAAGCAGCACATCATTAACGTAGCCCGTGATTGCCTCACAAGGTGCATGGATTATGGGCTGATCAAACCTCTCTCGCAGGCATGAGGAAATGAAAAGCATCAAAAAAGGCTGAGTGAAAAAAGCTACTGAGAAATGTGGAAAAGTGAGAGCCTTGAGGAGAATCTAGTGCCATTTTCAAGGCACAGAATAAATAGTTTGAGGACATCTTTGGAGAATCAGAAACTCTATGAGGAAAAGGGGGTTGTTTGCCTGGGATATTCGAAAAGTGTCTGTGTGAGTAACTCCCAGATGGTGTAAATCCTTTCTTTGCCCCTGTTCAGCTGGTAATGGTGAAAGCTTCAAGGCCCAGCTGTAAGAGCTGGTTGTGTTGGAAATGTGCCAGAGACTGTTGGAAGGAAACTCAACTGAGCTGAAATCTGTTGTGCAGCCATCTACAGCTCCTGGTACTCCTGGAATTCCTAGCAATGGTGGAACAGGGAGGGTTAAATGCCTTCTGTCCTGTAGTCAGAAAATAGGTTGGGTTGTGTGCTTTTTTTCATTTATGGTATTTTTAAACAGCATAAGTGGTGTGCCAAAGTGTGAGGGTGGTGGATGAACTCTTAATAAATTCACTACTTAGTTCCCTGTGGAATTCCCGTTCTGCTTTTATTAAGGAAATGGAGAATCTATGAAAACTTTCACTTGCAGCCTCGTATCATACCCAGGAAGCTGGAGCAATCGTGGCACAGGGTGAATTTTCACCACTTGTGAAATATCCAAACCTGCTCAAACAAGCAGTGAAGTCACCCTGAAAGGCTGTACCAGGAGGTGGCCCTAATGGGTTGAGCTGAGGTTAACACCAGGACTCAGTGTTCAGCTCAAGAGAGTGCTGAAAATACCTCATTTATGGGAGGAGCAGAATGAGAAGCAAACACACCAGTTGGTCATCATATTAAAGTTTATATAATAAATGTTTACGTTCACATGATAGACATGGCATGATTAAGTGCTGAGGTTTGGTGGTTATGAAAGGTACCATGGGATAGTCTTTCTTTGTATGTTGGTTAAGGGGAAAAAAAAAGGAAAGTGCCTCTAGCTTCCCAAAGTCAGAAAAGCAAGAATTTTTAAGGCAATAGGTTTGACAACCTAAAAGCAATTTATTTGGAGAGTGATTGCAGCTGTGTACAATGTCTTCTCCTTATTGTAACTACATTCAGTAAAATCACTGGTGCTTTATAGTCACACTAGGAGGATCTTCCATACCAAATGAACCACAATACTGTTTTTCAACCAGCCTTCAATTTTGGATACTCAGTTTTAGGAATTTTGGATACCTGGTTTTAGGAATTTTGGATCTGTCTTTCAAAAGTACTTTGTATCTAACTCCACACAGAGTTTTATCTAACCAGCATGTCTAAAACCAAGACAAAAAAATGCCATCGGCATTATGCAAAGTTTTGCTTCTCCCACTAAAGCTCCTCTTTAGAGCAACTGAGTTCTAACCCATACTGACTGCTGCTGAAATTGAGTGGGGAAACTACTTCTGTAAAAGCCATTTATTTGTATTTCTTAGCTAAAACGTGAACAGAAGGCTACATCTTTACTTTCTTAGATATCTGAAGAGAGGCTCTTTTAAAAAAATGGCTTCTAACACTGGATGCCTATCTTGTTTGGTAACTTTTCTGAGCAGTACTATGAACATGGGAGTGAGCTGGTGAAAGTCAGAAAGTCTCCGTTTCCTGTCTTGACATAGTGGCTTTCCCTTGGTAATACAGCTGCGTGCAGTCCAAAGGCTGAGCACCAGGTTTTGCAAGTCCTTGAAAGGAGCCCTCAGGGAACCATGTAATTCTACTGACATTCAAAGTATCTCTTTTCTCTGCATTTTTGAAATCTTATATTTGATTTAAAATAGACTGTATAGGCTTCCCAGGAACGTCTGGGCTTTTAGAGAGGACCAACCGTTACAAAGAAAATCCTTCTACTTCAGACATAGAGTAAAAATATTTCAAACTTACATATCCATTGACCTATCAGGGCTTGGTTGGGATTCTATGTCCCAGTTATCAAACAACAAGTGTAGATTTAAATTAGCTCTGGATGCTACACAGACTAATATATTTCCTAGAATTTCTTTCTGAAAGGGAAAGGATTGAGGAATAATACCAAACACAATGCTTCTTTCTAAACCAGAGAAACGACGGATGCTGTCAATAACAGTGTGCTTCTCAGGCCCTCCCTCCATTTTTCTTAATGATATGTTTGACTTTAACTTCTTCATTTCTGATGCCAGTATTCCACAGTACGCTCTTACTTCTTCATCTCTGTAGCACAGAATAGCAATATCTTTCTCAGAGTAACCATTTTTAAGATATGTACAACAACGTTCTGCCACGTACCTTGCTATTCCATTTCTGTCCAGGTTGCTTACTATTTCGGTACAGCCTTGCACAGCATGAGCACATGTGGCTCTGCATAATAAGGTTTCCAAATGTCGACTGGGAATATTTAGGTAAGAGTACTTCACAATCTTTTCCATCTCTTCTTTTAGATAGCTATAGATACTGTTAGGATTACGAACCACTTTGGTTAGTGACTCGACAGGATCATGCCATGTTGCCTCTGGAAGACCAGTTGAGAAGCAGTGACTTGTCTGTAAGTAGTCTAAGAAAATCCAGAAAAAGCCAGGCTCAGGGAGATGTGATGATGAAGTCAGAGTCAAGGCTTTGTTATACCAATCACCTTTCCCATCTTGGAAATTCTGTGCTTCATCAATTATTACGTGCTTCACATTGTCAAAGCTTGTCTTCAAAAAGGCTACTCTTGTCACGGCTTGGCAAATGTTTTTCTGCCTACAGAAGAGATACAAGTAGAGTAAAAGCAATCTCTGTATTGCAAACTACTGGTTATACTTAATCAGAACAAAGTGAATGCCCATGTTATTGAAGTCATGTTTATTAGTAGGTGATCAGGATGTCAAGAAAATAATTTGAACCTTGCTAAAAATACATCCCAACCACGCCCTTCAAACACTGCAAATGTGGTGGTCCAAATAGCATACCCAATATGCTAACCAGTACTCAGCCATTTTAAAATGCTGGTGAAATAACAAGATGTTGAAGTGAATAATTGGAGGAAATACTTACCGTACAAAATCTCTCAGAGGCTGGTTCTCACATACATAAAGAATCTCCTCTTGTTTGCACTGCAGCATAATTCTTATTTTCTCTATGATCTTCAGGGCCACTATAGTTTTTCCTGTTCCTGGCAGACCATAAACATACAGCTTCTTAGTTTTGTGAAGATTTTCTGAGAGCAGCTGGTATTGTTTGATGGTTAGGAGGTTCAAAAACTCAAAACCAACATAGTCACTTAAAAAGGACTTGAAAGTCAGCAGAGCTACTGTGAGAGCGTTCAAGAGGGCCTTCAAGTTATGACTGTTGATCAGGCTGTAGTTTTGGGGATATGTTTCTTGAATATTCAGATCATATTCTTTTCCACAGTTAATTTTGGGAGACAAAGTCAGTAGCTTTGGTATTACACACAATTTGTGAATATAGCCCCCAGTGTTGACTAATTTCTCCTTCAGCCTCCAGGCTACGCATCTTGAGTATTCAACCAAATCCTTTGAGATGTGATGCTCACAGACTGTATAGAGGATAGGTGGCCTATCCTTGGCTATTAGCAGAATATCACAAATTATGCCTTGGTTTGCTGACAAGCCAACCTCAACAGCCCAGCTTCTGGAAAATATCAGGACTCCCTCAGAAAGCTGCTTCAATTGATTTTTTATTAAAATATCCAACCCTGGATGCTCTTGGAGGAGATCTTCACTGAGTTTTTCTGGAGTATATATTATGCTGTGCAATTTCACTAACAAGGCAAAGCAGAAGAAACGGTTAGTGTTAGTACAAGATACACAAATCCAGACCTCTGAAATTATTCTGTGGGAATCAGTGTTGGTGAAAGGCTATGAATACAGATCATAGCTACGTGAAATATCTTTTATTGCTTCTTCAAAATTTTTCTTAACCACTCAATGTGTTTCCAGATTCTTTTGTAAAGACTGCTTCCTCAGAGAACTCAATCCTCATCTCCTACCCAGGTCTCAGCCCTTTTGCTAAAAATGCCAGCCCAGGACCAGCTGTTCCCAGCCTTGTTTAGGAGACCTGGTGAGTAAACAAAGAAACAATAATGGCTCCATACAAAAGCCTCCGGGCACCTGGCTGATTTTTGCGATGCCACAGAAACGTTGGACCCTGCACTCTGGCCCCAGCCCCAGTCACTTTATGTATTTACATGGGGCTGATTCCAAGTGACCTTCTCTTGTCTCGCCCATTTTTCACTAGATTGCGAAAAGACGTTGGCACGGCTGTGCTCAATCCTCAGAGCTCAGCTAGCTGAGCTCCGTCTTGTACAGATATCAATTGCTGGCAAAAGACCAGTCCTTGGGGAAGGGGGTCATCAGGCATTTGAATGCAATGTTGCTGTCAGATCTGCAAACTATTTCCATTTCTTTCACCTGTTTAAAGAATATCTTCAAACTTTGACCTTCACCATGCCCATGAGATTCATGTTTTAAACCCAGCACGCAGTGGAAGCAATGTGCAGACCTACCTGGAAACAGTTGCTTACAAAGATCATCAATGTTGTCAAGGCCCCGGTGTGAATAAACTGGCTTGGCAAGAGGTGGCCCCTCTGTCAGACTCAGCTCTAGCCTAAAGGTCTCAGAAAACTTTGAAAGATCTGGAAGAAAAGAAATAAAAACGTGATGTAGCATGAGCGTTTGCTCTCCCTCAGTGCAAGAGCCACAAGCTGTCCTCAGGCTGGTTTTAAATCTTTTGCTCTTCTTTAAAATAACAGATGTAATGCATGGAGAGAAACCTTTCAACTCACGTGAACGGCAGCTGATTAGCAACAGAATGGGCTCAGGTCATGGACCATGGAGCTGGTCTTGGTTTCCTCATCTCATTAGCTGCTGATGTGAATCTAACTCTGTTAGTCATATCCCTTTCACTGCCCAAGAATTGGCCAACAAACAATTTATCTGTCCGTAGCTCTCAGCTTATTAGACTGGCAGCAGCAATGAAGAATGCCCCTAAAAAACAGGAGGGAAAGGACAGATTAAGCCTGAAAGCAGACTGCGATTTGCAAGTGGCAATTGCCTTGGACTATGGCAATTATGTGAAAAACCACATGCACTGGGGTCTAACCTCAAAAGCAGTCAACTTGAGGCATGGACAGCTCGTGTTGCAAGAGCAGGCACTAACATGGGCATTAATAAACTGCTGGTCACCAGGACCTGCTGCAGCCTGAAGCAAGCATTAAGGAAGTGTAAGCAACAGAAAGACAGGTATTTAGCAATGACCTGAAGCAGTTAAACTGGTTGGTTTGGTCTGGCCCCCAACGAACACTAAAAAGCAGGAAAAACTATCTAAGGCAAGCAACACTGTCAGGCCAGGGGCAAGAAAATAAAAGGAAATAGCAAGAATGGAAAGGAATTGTCCTGGCTTTTTTGGACCTGGATCAGCATCGGTCATCCATTCAGCCCACTCATCCGCTCTCAGTCTCCTGATGGCGCAGTCTGCCACTAGCCACGAGTCCGGGTGTTCGGAAAACGTGACACAAGTAAATGGCTGAATCTTCACAGCGCAGACGTAGCCACAGTGATCTCCAGCCTTGTGGTATACTTTGAAGATTTTGTGTTCGCATGTTATGCTGTGTCCGTTTCCGCTCTTGCAGAAATGGAAGAGAGGCAATTTGGTTTGAATGGAATTGATTGTGAGACTTAATTCTTCAAGGTCCTCATCAATGCTGAATCCCTGCACTCTGCTGTCATCATCCACACCGATCCATAAATACCCACCGCGTGTGTTTGCAAATCCAGCGATATACTGAGGTAACATCTCTTTGACACGAGTCAAAAAGTTTCCAGTTGCATAGTGCTTAAATTCCACATTTTCTGACTCTGTGAAAGTCAATGTCTCTCCGTGCTGCAGTTGGTCCCTATTAAACAACTCAGCAACAGCATTATTTATAATATCCGTGCCTCTTCCAACTTCGCCATTCTTCCTGGTTTTAGCAGGTGGTCCTGGGCTAAGCTCTCTCCTGGCTTCATCTTGCTTTCCTTTAAGGAATGAAAAAGCTTCGGTAGCGTTCATGTGGGAAAGAGAAGCACCATTTTTTGCATACAACGCAGTACTCAGGCTACAGATACGTGGCTTTGCTCCTGTAGAGATTAAGGATGTGTTTTCACTGCTCCAGGTTTTAATAAAAATCAAAAGGTAATTACCTTGCTGTTCAAAGTCCAGGTATTTTCTCCAGTCTGGAAACAAAAGAAGAGACCGAAAATTCTCTTCTAAATCTGATCCGATCTTATCTCTCTCTAAGTTGTAGTTTTCATTTTCAATCTCTGCTTTTACAACACCTCCTCCAGAGTTCAGCAAGGCACACACTGCACGGGTGAGGGTGGATTTTTGATCTTGTTTTGAATTTTTTGACATTTTTTGTCTTGCTTTTTCACCAAAACGCATTTTTTCCACACACAAAACTACTTCAGGATACTTTGTTGCTAAATCACGCCAGACTTTCTGCAGTTGATTGTTTTCAAGAGCCATTCTGGACCTGAAACAATTGTAAAAAAACCACCATTTATGCCGAAACATCAATCCTCCAAAGACTTCCAAAAACCTTAGCTAAACAGTGGCCATCCTCTGAACAATAAACACACAGAGTCATGGAGATGAGAGCAACAGGGATTTTCTTCCAAGATAGAGTGCTTGCTTAAAACCTAAATTTGTCCCCAGGCATTTATTTTTCTGTCCTTGAGCATACGGGGATGTGGAGACCTTGCTGCCATCTGTCTCTCTGAACACAGAAGCAGCCTTAAAGAGTTTTTCTACAGCCAGGTTCGTTACTCCCTTCAACACCATCCCCTTACATCTTCCTGGACTGCACTTCCTCCTCCCCTGTAATGACTCAGAAAAGGCTTTGCTAAGCCTCACCTCAATCTTAAGAATCTAGTAATCTTACTGATTAATAATCAATAAATAATAACAACTGACCCTTCTACCTTCAGCTTTATTTGGCCACCCTTGCTAGTAAGGTGGCTGAATTTTGGCTGATTGCCACTTGGCACTTGAACTGCAGGCAAATTTGCTGAAATGGTGGCAAACCGTATCTGTGTCACATTTAAGCGAGTTTCTTAAAATGAAATCCAGCCCCTTTGCTACAAAACACATCTGTGGTACAAAAGCACCTGGAAATAAATGAAAACGTGCCTAGAAGAGATCGTGCCTGTGACAAGAGTGCAGCTTATTTCCATGAGCACAGATTTGCCTTCCACGCGGCCAAGTATTAAGCCAGAGAGCTGCAGGGCACAGAAACTCCAATGAGCATCTCCTCCAGATCGGATACAGACAAGTTTCCTGCCTCGTCTGCCTCTCCTCTAAGTTAGCTCTGCTGAGGAACATCGCTTGGCTCCTTGTAGCTTTGAGTTATGGTACAACTAAAGCAGTAAGGACGTTAGTGTGGGCTCAGTTTTGCTGCCAGCTAGAGGAGTTTTCCCATCCAGTCCCATGAACCTCCTTCTAGCTTGCTGCAGGAGGACAGCCTGGCTGACTGCTGAGATCTCAGACTGCCTCGGTGTGACAGAGAAAAGGACTTACCCCACCTTTTCTTCTTAGCTCTGGGCTAAAACGTCAATATTTGAAATATCAATTTTAAATCCTTAAATATTTAAGTCCCAAAATGATGTGCAGCAGAAATGGGGTACAAAGCCTCCGGAGCATGTTATCTGTCTTCTCTTCTGCCTCTCCCTCTACTCAAACCTTGGAGAAACAAAACATACTCAGTTTCTGGTTTCGCTTCTTCTCCGCCAGTTTTATTTTCTTTTCTTCCGTGTTTCCTGTGATGAAGCACCAGTGTCCACAGACTTCACTGAATCTTTCTGGCTCTTTCTGAAGTTCAAAACTGGATTTTGCTGGGAGCCCAGCCCTCCGGAGCTATTACATCCCTCCCCCTGGGACTTTCCTGGTGGTGAAAGCCTATCAGAGGAAGGAGACAATTTAAAAAAAAAATAGTTTAGAGGAAATCTCCCAACCTACAGCATTTACATATGTCATTGCTTGTTTAGTCTGAAAAGTTGGTGTTCCTTTAAACTATTAGAGCTGCAAAGTCAGAGATACAATTCTGGAAGCCAGCAAGCAGGACAGCAAGCTAGGAAGCCCCATGCAGAAGACACTGTCTGTGTATCTTCATTTGCAAGATTTGTAATGAGATTCAATCTTCTAACCTTTTTGTACTGACAAATCGCTCTAAAGCCAATAATTTTATACTGAAATCATGTCCATACACAACTTCCAGCTGAAATAATTAAAGTTATGGGTTAAAACTGTCTTATAACTGTTCCCCATGAAAGTAATCCATGCAGGGGGCTCCACTTTGGAGCACCCTCAGTGTCACCTCCCTCCTTGGGGCAAAATTCCAGCAAAGGCACTGAGATTGAGGCAACAGGGAGAGGACCGAGGTTTTGGGCTTCACTGCAAAGCCTTGAGAAGCCTCAAGCAGGGATGGATGAGTGTGTCCTGGCTATCAGCTTAACAAAGTTGTGTATTTTTTTGAGGGGAGACGAGAGAAAATAAAATAGTGTAGAAAAAGAGCAAGCACTGCAGAAACATGCCTGCAGGACAGGAAGGAAATAAAAACATATCTGTGGGCAGGATGTAAAAATGCTGTTTAGCTTGCGATGCCATACCGTGTAAAAGAGAGCGAGTGTCCTGCTCAACCCCTTGGCAGGAGCTGGTGTAATACCACCTCTTCCTTGCTTTGCCCCTCGTCTTATCTTCATCTCCCTCCAGAGTCCGTTCTGGTATCTTGGGCTTCTCTTTAGTCATCACAAAGCACAGTTTGTCCCAGTTGAACTTTTCACGGTGCCCACCACTGGTTGCTGAAGACCCCACTGCCCTCCTTGCAGATGTCTTCTCTGTGCGCTGCGCCATCAGAATGAAACCCACGAGTGCATGGGTGGGTTAAAAAAGGTTTCATTTCTCGAACTCCGAGTCTCCCTACACACTAACTGCACGGTGAGAAAAAAGCCCACGTAAATAGTTTTCACATAGTTTATTCGGGGACAAAGTCAGCGGAGCAAAGATCACAGCGCTGGGCGCATGACGGAGCCAGAGGCACGCCGACACAATCGTCAGTGAGTGATTTATACTGTAATTCATTACATACTCATAAATGTTTTTACATATTCATTATTATCTCGGAGGACACCGAGGCGATATTACAATTAGTATTTACATAAGCCCGCCTTACTCCCCCCTCCCACCAATCATGCACAGTTTGTCCTGGTGGTCGTCCCGGGGGTCGGTGTGGATGAAGTCAGGAGTCTTCATCAGCATGAACTTCGCCCACCACCACCTCTGGTTCCAGCTGGCTTCAGTTCGTCAGTTTCTTACCTCGAGCAGGGAGTTTACCGCGCTCAGAGATTTACAACGTGCTTTCCACCGCTCTCGGGGATTATGTCTGTATTTTTAACCATAAGTGTCCTTCTTATGCCTTCTTAATCAAGTCTAGGCGA